ATGTATGAATCATATGGTGAAAAACTGACTTTGAAAAATAAATCTGTTCTTTTTTCTTATAAAAGTCTAAATAAAACAAGAATATTGGTGGTAATTTTTGACTGTGTAGCTTTACAAACGGCACCTCATACACGTGTGTTAGCAAAATATCTCATGAACCACTAGACAGATTTTAGTGGAACTCCAACTAATCTTCAGGTCATTAGGAGTCGGCTCAACTCAAGATGGCCGCCACGGCTAATCGACCAACAGATCTTTATAACTCAGTTGGTTTAACAGAAATTGAGCCACGTTTTGATTTGGTAGTAGCTGAGAGTCATCTTCAACACATTCTTTGATCATAAAGTCCACATGCAGTGTCTGAAAACTCCTCCTCTTCTCATCAAAAGATGATTTTAGTGTAAATCTCTGCCACGAAATGCGGAGGGTGACGTGCATTCCTTAGAGGAAGGAGCAAAAGAACTGACTTTGGAGTTTTTCTTTAATAAATCTGAATCAAGTAGTTTAAATTCCATTTTAATAAACATTCAAGTCCTTCCAACAACCATCTTAAGATTAATGCACTTATCCCGTTTACTGAGAGGCAATTTTCTGTGGTGCAGAAAACCTAAAAATACGTTTTAATGTGAGTGAAGCTGACCGAGCGGTTCAGTAAACGCAGTAAAAAAGCCCTGTTTTACTTCTTCTATCTGATTCATCCTTTTTCAGCGTCAGAAATACGACGATGACTCACGTCTTTCAGCAGTTTTCTCCTTCATCTGTAGTAATCTGAGTTCTGAGTACAGGTAAAATGTCAAACTACTCTTCATAAGGCTAAACTACTGTGTTAGCTCAAACTCAGAGGGAAAGTTGTGAAGGTAGAGGTTTTTTTTTACAGTTTGTTTATATTTCTTGGCAGTGCTCTGTGGCCGTAGACAGTGCATCGAGGGCTTGGCAGTATTTAGGCTTCATCACGTGGGCTTAGTGCTTTTTGTGTACAACCCCAAATCCAAAGAGGTTGGGACGTTCTATAAAATGTAGATAAAAGCAGAAGTCAATGATGTGTAAATCTCATAAACGTACACTTTATTCAGAGGAACACAGTAAATGTGTCAAATATCCAAACTAAGAAATTGTACACGCTCCTTAAAAAAGGAAGAAAAAAAAAAGAAGGTAATTTAGAATTTTATGGCAGCAACATATCAAAAACATTAGAGTCATGTTGCACCGGTCGTATTTAACAGTAACAGACAGAGCAGATACTGGAGTTTTTGGAGGGGATGTCTTGTTTTATTTTTTTCGATGGACTCTCACATTTAGATTTAGACTTTTTGTATTGATGGAGCCTTTCTAGATGTGTAAGCTGCCCATGTTAGGCACTAATGCACCCCCATCCCATCAGAGAGGCAGGCTTTTGATCAGTCTTTTCTTTAACATGGAGGATGCAGTTTGTGGTTTACAAATAAATAAATAAATAAATAAATAAAATTCCAAATTTGGATTTGTCTGACCACAGATGAGTCCAGAGGACACTGCTGCGTTTTTGGATGTTCACATACAACTGCTGTTTTGCATGATAGAGCTTTAACCTGCATTTGTGGATGCCACAGTGAGCTGTGTGATTTGCTGTAGTTACATTGTTCTGTGCAGTGATTTAACAGACCTGCTCTTAATGAAGGGCCCCTGGGGGCCCGAAGATTACGAACTTCCATGAACTGTAGATCAGAGATTCTTAACCATGGGCCGTGGCCCAATTGTGGCCGCGAGCGCCACCTTCAGGGCCTCAAAAGAACAACAGTTTTTAACTTTGGGCCACAGAGGGCCGTGGGACTGAATTGATTTTGAATAAGGTGTAATACACTTTCTCACCACTAGTAGCAGTAGTGCACCACTCAGATGTTTAACAACTTTTTAATATGTAGAAGAAGAACCTTAGAAACCTGCTGAGAATTAAAACTTATTTTAAATGAAAAGTAGAAGCAAAAATGAAAGTAACTCATCAAAAAACACCAAAGTTTGTCACTAATATGAAGAGCAGCTTCTGTTCCTATCATGCAATATTTTAAAAGTTCAAAACATTATCAAATACAGTTATTTTAATTTGTACTTTAAATTATTTTTGTAG